CATATCGAACGTCATCTGTCACATTTTTCTAAAATTGGTAATGGCTCAATCAAGAACGTGGGGTTTCCTTCGATCCGCTTGCAATCAGTGCAACGACACACTATTTCTCGGCAACGTCTGTTCGACCGTCGAGAGAAGGCAGCGATATCGGGGTAGAGAGGGGTGCGGCCAAGTCATTAAATCCTGACGCGCATACATAGCCGGGGCAGGACTAATCTACGTCCATTAAGCCTAATGGGGAAAGAGCGGCGTGCATTCCGCGGGCTGCCTGTCACGCGGTTCGACGAATCGCTGTCATCCGCATGTCGCCGAAGAAACGAAGCTGCGCGCGCGCGCGCACGGGCCCCGCGACCCCTTCGTCTAACGAAAAACGAGTGTCGCTGACTTTTCCGTCCCCCTGCACGTCCCCCTCAACCCTTACCGACCAGACAAAAACCGTCCCCCGGGACTGAAACCGGGTCATTAAACGGCCGTACATCATCCACGCGAGACGTATCTCACGGGCGGGGCACCGAAGGGTGCGGGATAGCCCAGCCCCGCCTCGTCTCATTAGCTGCGAAATATTTCGAGTCCTATCGGCACCGAGCGAGGAACGCTGCCGTTGAGGCTCTAATTTCTAAATGATTACGTTAAACTGGCCTTTACATTGAAAAGTAACCTTCGAACGCGTTAACTCTCCTTTTAAGATCATCGGAGGAAGATGGAAGCGCGAATTTATCTCTCTACGCTCAGGCAACTCTGTCGTTGATGAATTTAGGCAAACCTAGAAAGCTGCTTTTTATTGTTGTACGCAATTTCACATACGAACAAATATAGTTCGTCGAAGAGTCTACTTTTCTCCATACCGATAATCATGCTCGTTCATATCTTATGACTTCGCACGTACATTAGGATTCACGTGCCGTGCCTTGAGATACTACTCGTCCGGGACTCGAAGCGCGTGCCCGACACATCGGTGTCGTTGTACGGACACGCTTAATAATACTACGTATCGGCGATCGCTCTCGGCGATATGCCGAACATAGAACGCGCGAGACGACGTAAGCGGGCCTGCCTGTACGACCGAGGGGCCTGCTTCGTCGCTTTCTTATTGTCTACCCTATATGTCTCCGGAAGCAGGGCCAATCCGCCGGAAAGACGAGACCGTTAACCCGCACGATCCCGAGACCTTGCGGCCGTGCATGCCAACGCTGCATTATTGGCTTTTTGTATGCTCATGTTAAGTGGTCGTCGCGCACGCTCGCGCATAATGCGCCAGATCCTTCGCACCTCCCGGTACCGATTTAAGCGATAGTTCCGGGCCGGGCGTTACCGCCAAATTCCCCGCCACGTTTCGCACGATGCTACTTTGCCCGTCACTCGCGAGGATAATAATAATCGCTTCGCGTTGGAATTAATTACAAAAGTGAGTTAATGATATAGCTATTACGTGGCCAATAAAAATAACGTTATGATGGGTTTCGTTTCGAGTAATGGTAGTAGAGAATAATTAATTCTATATATAAGAGATATGCTTTTTATTTAATAACAAGTTATATTGCGAGATACAGTAATTCCCTGCGTTTTAGACACGGCGTTAGACATGAAGAGAAAGTTGCGTGCTGAGAAACTATACAAGAAAATTGTACGTATACTATGTGGGACAAGTTAACGCACACAGAAAAATGATAAATAAATAAAAGTGAGTATTAAACTTTAAAGTTTAATACTCACTCTCAGTTTTTGCTTCCGGTTACTGCAGGAACAAGGATACGAGTGACATTTCATTCTTTTAACGATAAGATATGTCAATAACGAGCGCCTTAAAACTCGCATACTAAGTACTTCTTAAAACATCAACGTAAGCATTTCTTTCAGATTCATCTACACGGCGCGATTGTGTTAAAAGATATCACGCGTATATGGGGACTGAATGTAACTCGCTCTATATACGAGTCAAGGAAAGCTTTCATGTTCGTCGTGCAAATCCGTTCGTCTCGAAACGCGAAGGAAACGCGAGAACGGGGCGTGTCGCCGACGCGCACGAAAACTCGCCGAGCAGACGCGCATTAGCTAAATAAGCGTAATTCCATAAGAAATAAAAAAAAGACTCGGTTTATTCCTTCGACAATTCTCCTTACGTCTCTTCCGAGAACGAGATAAGATCGATAAGAGATAGATATAAAAAAAATTACTTTGAAAGGGGGGACTCTCGATTGTCATTCTGTGTCTGCGAGCTGATCCACGAGCCGACTGACGCAGGTGCAGCTACGATTGCCTCGTAGCTGACCGCGTCTTTGTCGCCTGTCGACAGTCCGTAGAACTCGCGTGTAGTTCCGGTGCGGCGCGGGGCCCGCGGATCCGGCGCGGTGGGTCCCCGCAAAGGACCTCGGTCGCCCGGCCACGACTAGAGCGAATGGATGCTAAGCAAGCTGTATTACCCGATCGTTTCCTTGCATACGAAGCGACCGTCGCCGGAAGTGCGTCATGCACGGCAGTATAGATTCCACGCGTCGACCGCTGTTGTCAACCAAGCTCGCTACTTCGCCTTTAGAGGAGCGTCTCTCCCGCCCGTCCCTTCGTGTGGCAAAATACGTGACCGTCTGCTTATATATATATATATATATATATTATTTTCCCGAGAAGCAGAGTAGAGTATCGAACGCCTCGATCAATGGCATTGACGTAAAAGAGCACTAGGAATTGAATCTTTATCAAATTTGTTGACGTGCGTCACTGCTAGATATTATATAGAGAGAGAGATAAACGCTCCGGCCGCAACGCTTGGAATAAAAAATTTCAAAATGTTGCATATGCGACTGAAACGTCTCTTTTTAAAAATGAAATCTCATTAGCGATCGAGACCTATATTCGCTATGATCGAAAATGAACTAGCCGTGATATTCAGGAGTATTTCAAGCGTGGACCGGCTAATATCCAACAGTAATTTACATAGTTATCAGTCATATTTACATAGATACGATCATCGTGTATGCGCGGTACCAAAGTTCTCCGATCGCGCATGAAACGCGCGGCGTTAACGACAGTCGGAATTTCTCGAATCGGCCACGATCATCCATGGCATTCGTAAACGAGCGAGATCCCGGAAACGCGACTAAACGGGTTAATTATCGATGTTTCGGATGACCTCGCGTCAATCATTCGCAAACGTCGCTCTGCCTTGCGCTACTCTGGATGCTCTCTCTCTCTCTCTCCGAATTTTAATCTTCATTGTCCTGGTGCCCGGTGATCCGACTTGAATTTATCAAACGAGACCTTTCGCCGACCGCGTCACGACACGCCGCGACCGATCCCGAGTGCGAGAAAAAAGCGGCGTGGCGACAGTCCCGGGTCACTTGAGCGCTAATTTATTAGAATGTTTATGTGTTTCTCTCGCTGTCTTATCTCCGTCCGTGCACCAGCGTATCGACTGTGGAAAGGAGAAAGAGCGTACAACCTGATTTCTCTCTCTTTCTCTTTCTCGCGACGGAAAAGGCATTAAAACGCGTCAACGTTGAAAATAACGTAGCGCGTCGCGGAGATTACGGAGTAATTAAGATTCGTCCGCGTCTCGTAGGTTCGTGAAAGAACACTATGCTCTTGCTACAAAGCGGGAGTGCTTCTTCTGTATAACATTATTTCGATGATATTAACCCTAGAATCCATGATACATTTTTTTGACCTTCTAATCCATGACTGGGGGCAATATCGACCCCACGCTTTATTTGATCGTAAAACCGGTCCTACAGAAATAAAGGGCCTTTAAACCTACATGAATTTCTTCGTTTTTTAATAACGAAGAGAATGGTATACGGTAAATTTAATTTTACTCAAGTTTAGTTAGTGAAAAATCCATTTAAAGACTGAAAAACGCAGAAAATCAGCAAAAACCTCTTTTTTTAAACAAAAATTTGTATCTTTTTTTGTAATCAACCGATTTTAAAATTTCAAACGGGGTTTTAAAGAGGACACATTAGACTATTAGAAAAAAATTGTCATCGCTATGTTCTGTTCAAAAAGTATATTTATTTGGGACTATAAAGATGAAGAAATTCGCAAAGTTGAAATACGGAAAAAGTCGATGAAAAAACCATAAAAAATTGTATTTTAAGTATTATTTCATTTTTATTTGATACAAAATAGTAAAAAATATGAAAAAAATGAAACATTATATCGCCCAGCCATTTTCTGCGAAATGTCAATCTTCTTAGGCAACGGGATTTTTACCGACTAAATTGTGTGATATTTCGTCTTAAATAATATTTATGACTATTTATGCTCAGATTACGTAATAATACATGATATATATTGATTCTAGCGAAAAAATAAAATTAGCTTACCGTGACGAAACTCAAACGGCAAGTCACGACTGGGGTCGATATCGACCCCACGCCCGCTTTACGACTGTGCTACTTCACTGCTAGCGAACAACTAACGCTGCGCCCGACATAACCCTACTTTTAGAAAGTTGAAATGAATTATGGTTCAGGTCCTGAGTCGATAATGTCACTCGCTAGCTCAGGAGCGTAGTTCAAAGTTCGCCTGGGGTCGAAATCGACCCCAGTCATGGATTCTAGGGTTAAAATAATTATATCACGTCTACTGTTAGGTTTCAACGTCGAGAAGATAAATAAAATTATAACGTGGCATTTGATATCACTCGCGAGGATCTTTTGAAGAACTTTTATCTTCCTATGAAAGTGTTAGTGTGGCGCGCGACGTTTATATCGCTCGTATTGCTTTCGTTCTTCATGCGAGCAGACTTTTCTGATACCGTAGACGCTATCTGTAAGTCAAGGGGTCAATTTTTCGGCAATTGCCGAAAATTTCGACACACACTCCCGTTAAAAACAATAATAAGAAATCGTTTGGCTTGTTTGCATCGAAATACAGTTTATCTAATTAAACGGCTGGTGCTTTGGCTCGTGTTTGAATCTGTATGCATAGTAAATATCGACGCTAAACGCGTGACGCATGTAATTCTTACGATGAATAATTCGGAAAATATTTACAAGACTTACCCGTTGAAGGGATAACTCGCAAAAGCAGCATCGTAAGGGTGATACATCGAGGGATAAGGCCACGCTGCTGCGGCTCCAGCGCCTAGATTTTCCTTGAGATCTAAACCGGCGGCCTGTAACAGTGTACGAATAAATAAATATCTCGGTATTTTCGTTTCTGTAATTATTACGCGTGATTTATTAGCATGCGCAACTATTACGACACATTAAAGAAAAAGTAACGACAATGAACGAGATAAAAGACAGTGATCGACGAATTAACGGCATTGATAAAAACAATTATTGAGATTTGCAATATACTAGATTTCTTTATATCGAGAAAGTATGAGCAGTTTTATGCCGTCTCGAGTTTTCTCGAGGCTATTAATACCTGTATTAATACGTATGTGCCATTAACGGTTCCGCCGATAATTTTCACAAGTCGCCTCGAGTGGCAGTGCGCGATCGCAGAAACGGATCTGCACGTGCCTCGAATTTATTCCGATTATTGACGCGCGCATGTAAGTATGCTTTCGCCCGAACCCGGTCACTCGTTATCGCGGTTTTTAAATGAAATCGCACAGAATGCGGTTAATTGCTCGAAAAAGATCCATTTTTAGGAACGAACGTCGCAATTAGCCCGTATCGACCGCGCTGCTCGGCCCGATCTCCGATGCATCAAATGATGATAAAAGAATAGCTGGTAAAGCGCTGATAATAATAATTAGGATCGCTGTGTGTGGCTCTCTTGTTTGCTTCTCTAACCCACGACCTCGCTTATGCGACAGGGGGTCGCTATTAAATTTCTGCCGTATTTTATCTAACGGGTATAATAGGCTCGTAAAAGGCTCTCCATTTCTTTCTTCCTCTCTCTTTAAATTACACACATATATCTGACGCAATAATATTTTAATACGATATATGTTTTATCATATTATTATTACTATATATACGTTACTATATATGTATATGTTTTATCGTATTATTATTTTAATATGATATATGTTATTAACAACGGATTAGATATCCGAAATACATGAGATGACAGATAAACTAAACTAAATAGACATGGTATCTTTACAGCCTTTACGCGATAACGTCCGGGGCTTTTCCGAAGAGCGATGTCTGTGACAGGAATTACACGACATAAATCAACGACGGAACCGCGGTAACCCAGGTAATTACCATGCCCAGCGAATGCCACAGAGCGGGAGGCAGGAAATAAACGTTTTCGTTAAAAAGCGATACTTAATGACTTTATATATAGGGGGATATCATGGACGTCGCGTAGTCGGTGCGCGACCTGTACAATCTGCTGCCTCGTTACGAGCAGGCTACGCTATATACCCGCGCCCCTTAAGCTCGATCATAAAGACCAACGATAACAGCTCGGTCTTACGGAGTGACGACGGCTCGGTAACGCGCGACCGTGTCCTATTATTACGGCAAAACGGATTCATAAATTTACGCTCCGCTCGCTGTTTTCTTCGTACACGCCTCGCGTGTGGTCCGATAACGCTCATCCGACGCATGAGCGAACACGCTAAAGCGCTTCTAGATTATGCATTAATAACACGTCGCCCTGCAGCCAACGACGGCCCAGTCGCAATGACATCTCGACATCGCGAATTACGGCTCCGGGAAGGGATTTGACGATGTGAAAGAGGGTTTTTTTCTGCGCGCGCATGACGGAACCGAAAGACGTCAATTGCGTCACGTCGAAAAAATCGGTGGGACCACGGGAAAAATCGGATCGCTAAACTTCGTTAATCCCCTAAATAAACACATCATTTCGGAGCATTCGATCGAGTCATGAAAATAAAAATTCGTATCAGAGTTTAATCTGCACGGTGATACAGAAATATAGAAGTCCATCCGTATTGGGATTTAATCCGCGTGATAAAAATTTTACGGCGGAATATAACGTCGCTACTATTGCCGGCTCGCGCGAGGCATTTATCGATATTGGAGAGCCGCGTCGAACATTTCGACGATCTGAGATCGACGGTACTGCGCAGGAACGCGGAAGTGCTGCGAAGAGAAACCTCGCACATCCCGTGTGTGCTTTCAATGTACTCGACTTCGTTCAGATATTAACCTTTAGCACTTGACGCCAAGCGCGAGGAGCATTCGAAAGAATGCAAGTAGAATTCGAAAACATCGGCAGAATTGTTGTAAGTCCTTTTCGGAAGTGTAAAGGAATCCTTTTATACACGACATTTATGAAAATATTTGCACAGGGTTACAAATGTGTTATAAAGAATTGTCGTTTAACAGTTTATATATCTTTAAATTATTTCACAGAATTCGTATGATGCTATATCTGATTTTATAAATATTTGTGCGCTATCACGCTTGCAATAGATAAGAAGAATTATCCTCTTCCGTGACAAGTATTCGGCATATCGGCGTTATACATATTTATCTAGCTTGATTTGAAAACTTCTAAACGCTAACTGAAAACTTTGTTGACAGCATGATATTACTTATACAACTAGATATGTGTAAGTGAAATTAATTTGTTGCGTTGCGATCTACAAGGAAATCAGTTATGGAAAATTACTGATTGCATAATTATCGTCGGCTGTATTGCCTAGAATAGAACTGCCATACCGGAATTTCCGTTCACGAATACTTATATTATGTAAAATGAAGGAGACGAGTTACATCATAAAATATATTTGCTTGTTTCGTCTTTAATAAAAATAAATAAATATAGCTAACTATACGGAATGCAGCTATATGAAAGCCAGCTAGAATTTCCGGGTTATGTTATCATCGACGGTATCGTAAAATTCGCGATATCCTTTGTTTCACGAATTGCTTCAGTCGTGCATCGATATTATCTCTCCCCCAGGCTTATCGATATGCTACTCTCTGCATTGCGAGAAAATTCTGAAAACCAAGTATACGCCGTTGCGACGAAATACTGTTACAGCCGATTCAAAAGCTAGTGTCGAGCTTATCGCACGCGGCGCAGTTGAACCGTGCGAACGGTTATAAGTCACATATTTTAGTGAGAATAATGCACGGAATTCGCAGAATAAAAAAAAAATAAAAAGAATCCTCCGCTCACAGTCGTGGAAAGGAAAAATGCGAGCATAAAACTGTCGAATTTTGATTTCACGAACTTTCATCTCGGCTCTTTTTTATTTTATCATATATGATACTTGGACTCACCGTGGGCGTGTAGAAGGGTGCTTGCTCGGCGCTCAAGCTGGGAAAGTACGCGGCCATACCCTCGGACGCCGCCGCGGCCGCGGCGGCCGCGTACGGCGCGCTGTACATGGAAAGCGCGGCCGTGGGTAGGCCACCTAGACGCTGATAGCCGCCCAGCAGTTCGTACTGGCAGGAGCAGACGGTCTGGCCCGTCAGCGGATCCGTGAAGATCGGCCGACCGGTATCACAGCACCTGGCCGCAGTCGGACCGCCGGCCGATGGCGGCGGATGACCCTGGGACGGGCTAACCGAGGTAGTGGGACTGCCGGGCGGTCTCACGATCGCGCTTGTCACCGCCATCCTCGCTTGCGTCAGACCGGCTACGTCCAGGGGATGATTCGTCGTCGTACTGGCGGTTACGCTGCTGACCAGGGACGGGCCGCCCGCGCTCAGGATCGCACCGGTCGCAGGTGAGACCGAGGACGGCGCCAACGACGAGTTCACTGTTACAGGACACTGCAACCAACAGATCGCAGAGCTCCAATCAGTATCCAAGTTGAATTGACCTGAATTAAATTATTCCATACGTGAGGTTTGTCTTAGAGTGTTACATTCCTCACGATATTAAATTCACCTCGTTAAGGATTAGATATATCGTTGCTACGAAATCTCGAAGTATCGACTACATGTTACGACGTGTTGCAGCTGGCGGATGGTAAGAGGCGATCCCCGTTATGAAAAGGCGAACGTAACTGCAAGCATCAGGCCCCCTCCTTTTATTTCCACGACTAAACTGAAAATCTACGGGCGCTGGGCATAATGCCGGCGGGCCTCATTAATTCCATATCAAACACTACGGCTAAATAGATTAGCGGGTTGAGTGCCTTTCGCGCCCGGGAACCTAAACAAACCCCCGTGAAACATCCCTACCCCCGAGACGCTTCCCGCGATTGTCCCAGGCAGCCAGCCAGCCAGCTATCCATCCATCCATCCATCCATCCATTGCCTCGTTTCGGTGGCCCCAAACATATTGTCGAAACCCCCGTACGCATTGTGCTGGGGCGAAAAACCCATGCGCGATGCGCATTATGGCGTCGAGAGAGAGTCGCGTTAATGCGTGTCCTCGATGCGTCGCCGATGTTTCGAGGGCCAACTGTCGCACGATGGCCAAACGCGTGTGCGTGTGTACGGTAAATACCGTATATATCTCAGCTATATTTCAAGCGAAGTACGACGCGCGCTGCAATCGACGACGATAAAGCTAATATAAAGCAGTTCTCTATTATAATTTTGGGTCAAAGAAGATTGCGCCTTAGAGTACAATTTCTGCTCTTGTATCGACGTATTGGTTTAAATGTAAAAATACCGCTGACATCGGCATATATCCAATTTTACAAAAAGAGAAAAAAAGGAAATTCTCTCGATTTAAAAATATGCTCGACATTTGCGTCGCATTTAAAGGCGAAAGAACCGGTCCCTCGCCGGGCATACATCCGACCATTCTCTTTCAGAAATCGTAAGATTCCAAGGAGTTCGAGGGAAAAGCCGGCGATGGCAAGAATGCGCTTCGGGACTCCGGATCGGGCAAAGGGTTAAACGACGAAGCGTGTTGGCGAGTGTCCGCTACCACGAGCCATAATTCAGTCCTAGTCCTCGAGAGAGGAAGCCAGGCGGTGGACCTGAGTTACTCGATGCGATCGCATCGAAGCTGCTGCTTGCCAGTCGCAACCGTGCAAACCGCAACGGCAACTATATCACCTCTGCGAGGTGTCGCGCAGTGGTGCCTAATGCATTTCATTTTTGCAAACGAAAACTTATTTCGCCATATTTTTTACAAAGTATAACGAGAAGATATGCAATATTTAACAGATTTTATTATAACAGAATTGAATTTTCTTCCAATCTTATTTTTTATTATTTTTCCTTCGAGTACCTATTACTTGTAATAATTATTAAACACACAAAAACTATAATTAATACAATTACTATAATTTATACAATTTTATAATTAATATTATAATTTATATAATACATTTCTATAATACATATTTAAACATAGGATATAAAACATGTTTACAGAATTCTTAATTTGTCAAAGATCTTATCATAGGTTTCAATTATTTTTTTAATTAATAATTCAAGAGAAATTATGTGCGAGCGAAAGTGGATGCCTTGTAAAAAATTCAACAGAATTCAAGTAATTATGTAAAGTTTAAGCACCACTGGTTTCGTCCTTGCTGCTGTCTCCTTTAAAGAAGCAAGGTGGCTTCGAGGTAGTATTATACGTGGCACGCAGCGTACCGGTAGCGACCGACGAAAGCAATAATTATTCGTACGCCGTATACGTGCCGATATATCGACGCATTAGCTCTTCGTTCTCTCGTTTGTGCCACGAGCGCGCTAATTGCCATCACTGTGATTTCTCTCGTAGATGCCTCCCAGCGAAGAAACACGCGCCGGAGAGTGCATTGCGAATTAGCAGTCGCGTTGAGATGCAGCAATATTGATTTTTTCTGATTTTACATTTACTAAAATTTTGGAGTAAATTGGGTGTCCCACATTGATTAATTGTTCTTATGATTGAAACACGGGCATCAAGATCGAAGAATTGCGGATTATGGAGAAAGCTGAGAATTTGCTACTTTGCTCATGCTAGATGTATGTACGAAATATATATATTTTTTTTACGTTTGATACGAAATTTCGCGTGCCGTCGGGGGCGACTCTTATCATCCGTCGCACGCCAGCCATTCGTTAAAAACTAGAATCGTATCATTCCGCATATCGTTCGGATTTATATTTATGGGATATTTTAGAGGAGAGGCAGATATCAAACGTCAACTGGGAAAATAATCAACTTAATTTTTCTCGTTCGCGTTAATGCCTCGGCACGCGAGCGGAAGCCCTCTTTTCGCGTACTTTCCTTTCGCAACATTCGCGTAATACGTTACTTACGCCCTGTTCGGTGTAAGGTTTCGCGCGAGCATCCGTTACTCGATACGCACTATAAAAACCGGTTGGCGATAAAGTGGACGAGGCGATCGTCGCGATCTACCTGCGCCGCGAACGAACGAAACGGGCGAGAATTCGTCGTCGGGGAATAGGTATACGTGGATATTTGAACACTGCGGAGGAGCATCGCACCACCGCTTAGTGTCGACCTGACATCTTCGAGGAGTTTGCGGAAAGTTACACCGGGATCTCTCGACTCGCGCGCGCGCGCACACGCTGGTTGTCGTTCAGAGGTTCAGGTATACCTCGGATACCTGAATCGCGACGACCCATCGCTCACGCGTCGCGAAAAACCGATATCGTACGCGTCGCGCCGCGAGTCGATGATCGATGGATCGTCGTCCGGGCCTGGGAAAAAGAGAAAAGTGCATGTCCTCGGATTAAAGCGGCCGTGAACGGGTAGCTGACGAACGACTCAGGATCGGCACTCGGTACACATCGGCATCGACAGCACCTGGCCGCACGCATCTTACTTATGACCCGATTTGTATGCGCGGTGTAACGAACATGTCGACGAAGGAACAAGTAATAGCGCGATCAGCAATGTTTCTCGGCAGCGATAAAAAGCTTCGTCGCGAAAACATTGCTGAAGGAGAAGAAACTTCAATAACTAGCTTGTTATTAAAGTAGAAATTCAAAACAAGCTGACATTTTCTAAAAAGTACTGATATATCCAAATGCTTATTTTATAACGTATACAACCGAGATATTAACATAGTGATAAGCACAGAAATAATTCATACTGAAATACTCATATTTGTGGATATTTCGTCTTAAGATAAATTAAACGATAAATAATTCACACATATGTAAAATCAAGAGTCGTAATATGTGACACAGATGTACTTATATTTTGCATTAACTGACAAATTAAATTGTCGTAATACACGCGATACCGCGATATGCGAGTGAGTTTCAATTGACGGGTCTTGAACAATCCACGGTGAAATTTATTCAAGTAAAATCCGAGAGGAGCCCAGGGGCGTCTTTCCAACGAAGAGCTCGATAAACGTAAAAACTCGGGTTGACGACGGCGCGGTGCTCCGGGCGATACGGGGTGTCAGATAGAGAAGCTTGTAAAGAACGCGAATAGGAGGTACGTCGAATCGGAAACGAACGGCGGACCTCCGTAGCGCGACTGCACTTCCAGGATTTATAGGCCATTCGGAAGAGAATCGGTTATCCTGTGGACACAGATGCGCCGGTGTTTGCGCGCGGAGCATTTGTCACGCGTGTCCTGCGAGCGAAAAAGGGACCGACGCGGCGGCCGATTCGATCCTCTTTATGCGTGCCGATGATGCCCTCTTTGCAACGAGGCCCAGCCAAGTCAATATTGACTCCAGGCCAGATTGATGGACCTTCCTCGCGTGTGTGTTTAGGCCTCGCAGCACTCACTTATGTTCCCACCCCGCGCGACTCACCTATCCATATTTCTCCACGCTTCCTTTTCTCCCTCTTTCTCTAGCTTCCTGCATCGTCTCTGTTTGTTGAATGTTACATTCGGAAAAACGTGAAAATCCTCGCTAATTCTCTACAGTCAGATAATACGAATACAATTATTTCTCAAGCTTAAGACCGACTCCGATCGATGGACTAAATCTTTTGAAGCGGTTGTGAACCTGTAACGCATGATCTTGAAGACTAGTTGTATATGAAAATTAATGAACGAACAAAAATGTCTAATATATAATAAAAATGGCCAAAAACATTAAAAATAAAAAAGAATTGTACATTGAAGCGTCCGAATAATTCGGAGTGTATATAATAAAATTATGTCATTGGAAATACGTCGATTGAAAAACAGGTTTTATATTCTTCAGGGATGTGATTTTAACGAGTCGCGTTAAACTATCGGTAGGTTCGGAAATATCTGCGCGAATGAAACTTTAACTAACAATGACTTAAAAATGTAATGATCTCCTATTTCCGGGGATCAGTTATTCTTGCAAATTCAATTTATGCTGTGACAAGGAATCAATACTCGCTTCAATCATAGCGTTCTAAATATTCCGCGTAAATTGTTATCTTCCTATTATTAATTAATCAATTCGCTCTGTTCTTTTTTAGAAAAAAAAAATTCATGAAAACGCAAATAATGGGATTTATGTTCCTTCGTCGACCGCAAATATAACCGCAATTGCGGGAAACGATCGGGGCGGTCTGTGATATCGCGTTTCTCACAAAGTATCATCGATAATTTGATCGCAGCGCGATATGCAGCTAAATTAATTAATTCCTCTCTGCTAATCGCTTATGGTTATACTCCCGTGCCTCCGAGGGGAACAAAATGCGGCGTTATCGTTGGCGTGATCGCCGTGGAAGGGGGACACATACAATCGTATCGTTCACGGTTCCCGAGGGCCCGCGGCCAGAGCTCTCGCTCGCGTATTTCGACAAAAGCAGAGAGCGGCGAAACTGCGAAGTCGTCATCCGACACCGAAGTTTCGCCGTAAAGCGATTACCAACGACCACGACGACGACGGCGCGTTATCAGAAGACGACCT